TTCTTTTTGCTGGCGGGGTCCCTGTGGGGGGGGGGGGGGCCCGGGGGAGATTTACCCTTACTTTTATCCTAGGGTGCCACAACAATAGTAACAGGAAGTGATGGTATATCTCCCCGATGGGGACAGGAAGTGATGGGATATCTCCCCAACGGGGAACAGAGTCAGCATTGTTAGGGTTAACATTGGGTTACAGATAAACTAAATTACATATTTAATGGCCCGCGGTGTACGTAACTCTTCAGAGTATAAGGGAGAGTGTAATATCGGCTCTCCGTTATAAGTGAGCCCCTTTTTTTATAGATAGGGACTGCACCCAAACCAACTGCACCAGCAAAGGACATAGCAGGAGATTAAGGGAAGGAGGGGCCCCTCCCCCGTATGCACGCGTAACATTTACATTACGGGTAACCATTCCCTATTATCCTAATGAACTTCTGCAACAAATTAGACTCCGGGCTTTTCACTGGAGCTCTGGGACTATAAAAGATACAATAAAAGGATAAAACACTAAAAAAGGATGTACGGTGAATTGCTTACACCGCGGTCTCTTCCGGAACGTTGAGGAAAAATCTGCCGACTTTACTAGGAATGTTTATAGGCTCAGTATTTACCCGGCTGCACGTCGGTAACAAGCATTGCGCTACCATTGTCCGGCTAATAAGGTTAATTGGCCCAAATGAACTTAAGAGCGCCGTAAAAAAATGAGCCATATGCCAGACTGATCTATAATTCAGGACAAAAAGACATCTGCTTCCTTCACTGGCCAATCAAATTAGAGCCGAAACATGGGGCTGGCCCTCAAACAGAAGCTCCTCTCAGGTCTATAATGTACATTATAAGTGTGCCGTGACTATTCCCACCAGGGCAACCTAATTAATATCTGAAGCAGGCCCGGCTTAAAGGGTCAGTCCACTTTGACTTACTTAGCCCCGGGCCACACGGGCTTCCCATGGAGACTCAAAGTGTCAATGGATTCTATAAAGTTCATATTGGTGCCTTCAAGGGCCTGCAACCCTATTAGAGTTTTTCTACGGTCATGTTATTGGTATTTACAATTATGATAAGGCCGCTTGGCCTTTTGAACTCCACTAAAGTGTAATGTGTTCTCCTCAGGGTAGAGTCAGGACGTAGGTAGTGGGTAGTGGTCAAGACAATGGTTGCCCACCAAAGATGACGATGGGTTCTAAGATGTTCATATCGTTGCCTTGAAGGACCTGCAACCCTATCAGAGTTTTTCTACGGTCATGTTATTGATAATCATGATAATATGGTTGTCATGGTCATTTCAACTCCACTCAAGTGTACCTTATCCTCTTTGGGGTAGGATAATGGTAGAGTCAGGGTTGTGGCCTCTGTTCTACCCTGGTCAAGACATGGATTGCCCACCAAAGATGATGATGGGTTCCAAGATGTTCATATTGGTGCCTTCAAGGATCTGCAACCCTATCAGAGTTTTTTTTACTGCCATGGTCATTTGAACTCTCCTCAGGGGGTAGGAAGATGGTAGAGTTGGGGTTGTGGCCTCTGATCTTCCCTGGTCAAGACAATGGTTGCCCACCAAATATGGCGATGGGTTCTAAGATCTTCATATTGGTGCCTTCAAGGACCTGCAATCCTATCAGAGTTTTTCTACTGCCATGGTCATTTGAACTCTACTTAACTGTACCTTATCCTCTTTGGGGTAGGATGATGGTAGATTCAGGGTTGTCGGCTCTGTTCTACCCTGGTCAAGAAAATGGTTGCCCACCAAAGATGACGATGGGTTCTAAGATGTTCATATTGGTGCCTTCAAGGACCCACAACCCTATTAGAGTTTTTCTACTGCCACGGTCCTTTCAGCTCAACTTAAGTGTACATTATCCCCTTTGGGGTAGGATGATGGTAGAGTTAGGGTTGTGGCCCCTGATCTACCCTGATCAAGACAATGGTTGCCCACCAAATATGACAATGGGTTCTAAGATCTTTATATTGGTGCCTTCAAGGACTTGCAATCCTATCAGAGTTTTTCTACTGCCATGTTCCTTTGAACTCTCCTCAGGGGGTAGGAAGATGGTAGGGTTGGGGGTTGTAGCCTCTGATCTACCCTGGTCAAGACAATGGTTGCCCACCAAAGATGGGGATGGGTTCTAAGATCTTTATATTGGTGCCTTCAAGGACTTGCAATCCTATCAGAGTTTTTCTACTGCCATGTTCCTTTGAACTCTCCTCAGGGGGTAGGAAGATGGTAGGGTTGGGGGTTGTAGCCTCTGATCTACCCTGGTCAAGACAATGGTTGCCCACCAAAGATGGGGATGGGTTCTAAGATCTTTATATTGGTGCCTTCAAGGACTTGCAATCCTATCAGAGTCTTTCTACTGCCATGGTCATTTGAACTCTCCTTAGCGGGTAGGATGATGGTAGAGTTGAGGTTGCGGCCTCTGATCTACCCTGGTGAAGACAATGGTTGCCCACCAAATATGGCGATGGGTTCTAAGATGTTCATATTGGTGCCTTCAAGGACCTGCAATCCTACTCCTACTGCCATCTGATCTACACAATAATCTGATACTAGGGCAATCCTGAGGTTGGCTGGGTGGCAGCACGAGGCAGTTGGCCTGGAAGGACAAGAGGTATGTATTCAGCTTTGTCCCTAATGTATCTACCCTGATGAAGACAATGGTTGCCCACCAAAGATGACGATGGGTAATAAGTTGTTCATATTGGTGCCTTCAAGGACCTGCAATCCTATCAGAGTTTTTCTACTGCCATGGTCACTTGAACTCTCCTCAGGGGTTAAGAAGATGGTAGAGTTGGGGTTGCGGCCTCTGATCTACCCTGGTGAAGACAATGGTTGCCCACCAACTATGACGCAGCAATCAAATACCGTCTACAGCCTCTGGTAGGCACTTGCACCTTTATAGCCATACCCTTCAATGTCACAGCGCGTAGCCTGGAGGTTGGCGACTCTGGCACTGAGCATTGCATTGTGGGAAAGCATGGGGAGCATGCACACGGTCCCCGCAGGTCAACATACCGAGCAAGGTCTGTCCAAACATTAT